CCGTGGAACCGGAACCGCCAGAACCGAGCAGCAAAACCGGTCCGTCGAACCGAACCGAAATAGAACCCGAACCGTGAAAGGTTCCAGGTTAGGGGTCAGGGTTCTCTACTTTTCTGCTCTTCTTTGCTTTTCGCTACTTTTGCGCTCTTTGTTTTTCTTGTGTTCTCTCTCTTCCCTTCTTTGGTCTTTGCTCTCCTTTGCTTTTATTTGCTGTTGACCCAAGAAAAAGCAAAGAAGAATGCCTCGGAGTTACAGAACCGAAAATTCCTAACACATTGTGTTAAGGCGATTTTGGATGGTCTGGGCCCCGGAAGAGCCCTCTCAGCCTCCCTTGCTGCCCGTCACCCAAGACACAAGTCCAGGTAGCCCCTGTTGTCGCCTCCGCATGGGCTTCGGGGTTTGAAAGTGGGCCGTTCGCAGAACCCACACCAGGAGCTTGGGCAGAGCAGTTTACGGGGTTCTGTAGGACGGGGCGTTTAGGGTGTTGGGCGTTTTGGGCTTCGAGGGCTGTAAAGCCTGAACTCGAAACCTCATTAGAAACAAATAAAAGCCTAAAGCCCTAAACCCCGTCAGGAAGTGCGACAAGCCCTATAAGCCGTATAAGCACTACAAATCCTGTAAATCCTGAACCCCAAGTCCAATAAACCTCAAAACGTGCGCACCTACCATCCCTTTTCTGAAGTGTTGTGAGTGCTGTACAGAAAGATCTCGAACAAGAATCGGTGTCCGGCTAGTGGCAGTTAGCGTACTTTCGGGCTTTCAGGAGTGCGGTTTGCAAAAGTTACATGCATCCTCCCCGCTGACCGCCGCCGATGCATCAGCCTGTGAGACCGTCTCAAACGGTCTCTGCAAGCTTCCGTTTTCGGCCAACAAAGCCTCTGGTGGCGTTGAGATGACCGAACAAAACAGCATTGGCCGAGTGCGAGGATAAGCGAGGCCGGGTCCGATTGAGCCCTCGGCCGGCAGCACTCAACGCTCTTTCAAGCGTGGCTGTCGAGGCAGGGACTCCGAGCACCCACCTGGCTGTCTGTGCAATATGAGGCATAAGCCCCTCATTCCGCTTCCAGTAGGCCAAGGGACACTCGCGCACGTCCTGCACAGGTGGAAGCGAAGCATACAAGGCCAGTTCCTGGTCGATTGCCTTCCACAAGTCTTTGTCAGCCTTCTCAGCAGGCACCGACAGTGGCACGTCCTTGCCATAAAAGAAGTCATCACATGAGTCCACCTTCTTCAAGCGACGAGGTGGCCTGGGCCCCGATGGAAAATTTGGCTCCAGACCAGAACCTCGCCCTCCTCCTCGTCCACGTCCGCGGCCGCCACGGGTGCGCTTGCCATGCTCTGCAGCCTGCACCTCCCAAGCCTGAGCAGACCATTTCCTCCACAGTTCTTTGACTTTCTCACGAGCTTCCTCTGTCAGGGAAGGATGACTCTTGAACCGCACATCTGCATACGTTGCGAGCTGAAGAAGCAAGTCAGCCTTCGACCCACAAACATGCTTGTCCATAATTTTCTTGAGGTCATTGTGAAAGAACTGCACCAACTGCTTTGGCAGAGGCTTCAGGTTCTTCTTGTCGATGGCTGAGATGCGAAATTCGTCTCGTAGCTGGGTCGGAACAGGGAACGTCTTGGCTGAAGGTGAGTACGCGGTCCGGAGCGCAAAGTAAACAGGGTAGTACAAGCTAGCCAGGCCTTTCTCGTTCGCCTCTAGGAGCTTGGTGGCGTGTCTCAAGGGTGCCAGAACTGACGCCACCTGCAAGAACAACGTCACTTCCTCCTGCGACAAAGGCTTGGGATACGAGTCGCTTGCTGCATATGTCGAAGCCTGCACATTTCCAAAGCGCCGTTGTTCTGGAGCACGGAGATGATGGCTTGCAATGTGCTAGACCAACGGGTTTCTGTCTCGGCAGCAAACATAACGAACGGGAGCCCAGCAGCTTCGGCTTCGCTTTCCAGCTCATGGTAAAGTTGCTCGTTTGCAAAAAAGAATCGCAACATGCCTCGAAAGCGCGAGACCACAGGCGTGAAGGCTGCTTGCATTTGTACATGTGCCGGGTCTTTTGGGCGGCCTCTGCGACGAAGAGGAGCAGCATCCTCAGCAGCCGCCTCTTCTTCACAGGAGCTGCTGCTGGGGCTGGAGCTAGAGGAAGAGCAGGAAGTGCCGCTGTCAGATTCTTCAACAGACGTGGCCCTGCGATTGCGACGCTTCAGCACGCAGTGCTTGAGAAGCAACTGAGTGCAGTGACACCCACAGCCCAAAGGCGTCATGTTGAGGTTCTCCCGGATCGCCTTCCTGACCGCTCCTTCGTGATCTGTCACACCCGCAACGAGGGAGTCAACTTCAAGAGATACTGCTGCAAGTGCCTTCTTGAAGATGTCTGCATGCGAGGCCGCGTCTTTGCGGCTCAGCTCGGCAGTGTCGATGCAGACCTCCTTGAAGTCCCATTCTTTCGTGACCCAGCTGAGAAACACTGCCGAGAAATGCCTCGGGCGCTTCCCTTTTGTCTTCCAAGTATCTGCTGCGAGCGCAATACGGGCGCCATCTTTCACGGAGTCAAGAACAAGCTGCTTGACTTCTGACCTGATCTCCTCGACCTGCTCCAAAACATGCTTTCGCACGGACATGTCTGACGGCAGGCCTTGCAAGCAAGGAATGCGTTTCGCACAGTCAACCTTCTTGAACGGAAGTAAGCCCACAAGGACCATGTTTGTGGACCAAGCAAGCAAAAGCTCCTTGTCGACTTGCACCGTTGCTCCGCCGCCCGAACGGCGCGATTCCTGAATATGTGAAGGGAGAGACTCAGGGTGTTGCGCCCTCATGTGATTCAACATGTTGCTGGTAGAGCAGGCATTCATCACACATCCTTGGTAATGGCTGCTTGGAGAGACTTTTGTTTCCATAATCTTCACCACATCTTGCTCTGCTGGAGGACCATCCGGCCCGCAGAGTTTGCAGGAAGCCTTTGGCCAGAAACAATCATGGATGGGAGAAGGCATGGCGAGGACTCAAAGTGCCGTCTCAAAGTGCGATGTAAAAATAACATTCAGGCTTCACGCACACTCAAAACATGTTTCGGACTTCTATCCTCGTGCAAATGAACAACATTCTGTCGACAAAGCATGACTCGCCTGGGAGTCATGCTGTCCCTGAGCCCGCCCCAGCTGTCGCGAGCAACAAGCAATCTGGCTTTAGAATATGGTTGGATTTGCGCAGTTTTGCGCAGTCGCAGAACTGTACAGCCTTTAACTGTAAGTTGAAACCCCCACATGCACTTCCCTAACTATACTAAACCCCAAACCCTTCCGCCTCCCCGATGTGCAGGCCCGTGGAGAGCTTGGCATGCAGGGCTTTTCGCTGCCCAGCAGCCTGCCGGCCAGGAGAATGGGCCTAACACATTGTGTTACGGGTTTGGGCCCCTACAGAGCCCCTGCAATTTCGGAGGTTCGCCAAAAGTAAAAAAATACAGAGTAAACCCTACACCCTACATCCTGCACTCACACTCTACCTTTACACCCTATACACCCTTCGCCCTAAACCCGATGAATCCTAAACCCAAACCCTAAAACTCAGATTCTTGAAAGGCCAAGCCTGAAACCCTCAAGCCGGTTTCGGGTTTGGGGTTTTGGGTTTTGGGCTCAACCAACAGCCCTGCAACAGCTTAAAAGCCCTAGGGACAAGGCACCGAAGATCCCTAACACTGTTCAGGGGTTTGGGGCCCTGTCAAGGGCTTCGGAGAGCCCTCTTAAGCTTAACTTGGGGCCTGCATCAAAGGCGAAATATTGAAGCAGGATGCAAATTTCGAAACTCGAAACTACACGGAGACACTGTGTTCCACACCAAGCCCCGCTAACCCCCAAACCCCGAAATCCCTGACCGTTTTGGTCACAGGTGGTGCTCCGCAAGCCATCTCAGCAAGCCAAAGTCGGCTGGCATCAGAGTCACCCGCCTTGCGTGTGTGATGCGGCCTTGTTGGCCGCGGAAAGCACGTCCGTGCATTTCCATTCAGCTGTGTCCTGGAGCACAGCCGTGGCCTCGGACGTCATCCGCATTTCCGGTGCTCGATCAGCATAACGCTGCTTCAAAAGCTTGGTCATCGTGTCTTGCACCAGCCTTGCAAAGGCTACCCGTGGCACTAGGTGCTCAGGCGCCTCAGCACCCTGCAACTTTCTGATCTCGTCCATGATCTTGTCGAGACGCACTCCGCCAACCCTATGCCCTGCGTTGTCGCGTGCCACGGCTGGCTGTTCCAGCGCTGCAGCAGGCCTCTTTCTGGACTTTGTGGTGGCTTGGCGCTGGCGGTCTGGCCGGTGTGCAGAAGGTCTCGGACTCGGCAAGAGAGCGTACACGGCGGCGACCCACATTTCTGGCTGCCTCGTAGTCATCCTGGCTCGATGGAACTGGTTTTCGCAAGCGCTTCTTGGGTGCTGTTCGCTCAACCTCTTCAGCTGCCTCTTCTCCAGCCCGCACTTGCTCTTCGTGGTTGACTCCGAGCTGGGCATCGATCGCCTCCAAACCCAAAAACTACACCCTGCAACCTCAAGATTTGTAATTAGGGGTTCCGCATTCAGGGCAGTAGGTTCGCACCGGTTAGAAACACCAAAGCCAGTGCCACATCAACAGCTCTGCAAGTGACCTCATCTTCCAGCTTGACGGCCTTCGCAGCCTGTCTCGCAGTCATCCTGCGCAGCTCTTGCATCTCCGGGTCCTCGTCGGCACGCGCCATACAAGGGAACACTGGCGAGAACTCTGCCAAGGAAACCCAACCAACGGAGTCTGCAGAGGTCCGGACCTGAGACCGACAAGGCTACGTGTAGGGGCCCCTTAGATAAGAACTAATCTTGTTTCCAGTAATAAGTTGTACTGCAACCAAGCACAATTTTGCCAGGACCTTCGGAGGCAGAGGATGTACTCTGAGGATAGCATAGGAATCAGGCTTCTCTGAGGGCTTCTATAGGGTTTAGGGTTTAGGGTTAAGGGTTGTTATAAGACGAATTCTATCAACAAAAGAGTAGGGAATTGGAATGCAGAGGAATCCACTTAACTCTCGGTCACAAAGCAGTAGTGCTTCCAATCGTGCACCCGGCAAGCAAGGCGAGGCAAGCAATACAGGGCAGAGATCGAAGCAGAGTTTATATCCGTTAGGTTAACTGCACAGGTAAGAGGCAACACGGGAACTACCCTAAGCTCCAGCGGGCCTTTTCCTGGGACGTCACTGAACGTGCGTCTTGAGCAGTCAAGCTGCAAGTGAAACAAAGTTGACAAGAGCCTAGCAAGTGTCTACCACCAAGCACAATCCAACCAGGGCCCCAAACGAGGCATTTTCAGTACCAAAAGTGGGTTTGGCCCCTACTGAGGATCCCGCCAAGTTCAGCAGAGCCAAGCCGCCCAAAACCGCCCTAACACAACGTGTTAGGGCGATTTTGGGGGGTTTGACACCCAGCCAGGACCCCAAAGGAGGCATTTCCAGTTCTAAAGTTGTACTACAACCAAGCACAATCCAGCCAGGACCCCAAACGAGGCATTTTCAGTAC